CATATATTTTCTTAGTATACTCGTCGACGACTGAAAAAGAACATTTTGTGAAAACGAGTATACACGTTTCTGCCGGGGAAGGGTTAATGTAGATTGAAAGGGTAGTTATTACAGTGGCAAATGAGTAGTTTTCTTTTTTTTTTTTAATTTAAAAGGTTATGTATTTTATGCCTAATACATACCACATTCTCTATACAGAGACTCACTGAGGCTCATCTGAGGTGAATTCACAGATCTTTAGTAAAGTATTACAGTATGCTAAGTGCTGGGATAATCAAGCATAGTTATTTAAGAAAAACAGCAGAAGCATTTAACCTGAAAGGAAAGCAGGGAACAGAAAGTGGAGTTTTCAAAGAAACAAGAGTAAACCCTAAGAGGAAGAAAAGGGAGTGCTAGGAAAAGGGGAAATTATTAAATGTGACTGTTTACTCAAATTCACAAATGGGAAAATAACAACATAAGGGACTTATTGAGTAATGCTACCACAGATATGTTCTTCAATAATATATATCAGCTTCTATATATGTTTATAATTCCCTTAAAAGGATTTACTCTAATACTTTGAAGATAAACTCACGTTACAACAAAGTTAGACTTAAATGTTATCATCTTCATCTTTAGAATTATATACACCAAATTGCTATACCACAGATAACTCAGGGAAACTTCATTTTCTCCCTGATAAAAATGTCTGAACACAGAGTTTCCAAATGGACATATTTCATCAACTCTTTGACTAATGCTTGATAATTCTCAAACATAAAAGAGACATAAAAGAGATACGTTATGATCTATTTGATAATTTGTATTTGCCAACACACTAACAAAAACACCAAAAGCAAAGGCAGAAAATATATTAAAAACACATACAAGTTCAAGTACTGTACTCTGGATTTCTAAAATTAATTTTAGTCTTTCCTCAAAATTTAAAAATAGCCAGGCGAGTGTGGCCCAGTGGTTGAGTGTCAACCTATGAACCCAGGAGTTCAGGGTTCAATTCCAGTCAGGGCATATGCAGGAGGCAGCCAATCAATGATTCCCTCTCATCACTGATGTTTCTATCTCTCTCTCCCTCTCCCTTCCTCTCTAAAATCAATAAAAATATGTTTTTTAAAAAAGAAAAGAAAAAATTAAAAATAGAACTAAAGGGTGTCCCAAAATTCACGCAAGAAGTAATTCTGATAGAAAACACAGGCTTATAATTAAAAATTGTATATTTTTTATTGATTCATAAAGTATACAGTATAGGGTTGTGTATGGAATAGCATATTGGGTAAATGGCCTCCACGGCTTTGCTGGCACAGCGACAATGCAAGCATCCCACCCCACACCCGGCCGCCCAGCACCTGCGTGTGCAAATTAACCCGCCATCTTTGTTGATTTCATTTGCATACTCATTCCTGATTGGCTGTTGGGCGTCACAAAGGTACAGTCAATTTGCATCTTTCTCTTTTATTAGTGTAGTTGGGTCATCTCAGTGAAAATGGAATCCTCAACCTGACATATCTAAAACTAGTGTTTCGTCTAACCTTTCCCTCCAAACCTATCCTATTCACCATTTACTTACCTTGCTGCCTAAAGTCAGAAAACTGTCAGAAAACTTACCTGTTCTGTAAAGGATGTTTAATATAGTGTTCTGGGTTAGCAACCTCCTGATTAGATTCTGTTTTCTCTTCTTCTGTAGTCGGGGGATTAGGAGTAGGGGTGGTTTCCTAGTGGAAAGTAATAAAACAGTATTTAAAATTTCTTAAGACATCTAAGACAGCAACACTCTAAATAAACTTAACCAATAGTGCCAACATTATCTTTTAAAGAAAACATTACAGAAACACTTCATAAAACAGATCAACCTCTAAGGAAAAAGTTCAAAACCCTCCATTCTAGCATATCTTCATTAACAGAAAACAGTTTCTCAAACTAAAAAGCATAACAATAATACTATATATGCTTATCTTCCACTTACACAGTCTAATATCAGAAAGATTGTTAGAAACCATACAACAAATCAGCTAACTTTCATAACATTACATTACATTAAACTACTGTATATGAAAATGAGGAGTAAGGAAAATACAACTAAAGTGTGGAGAATATAACTAGATTACAAAGAAAAGTTTTCAAAAAATTATTAAGCAATACTACACATGAAGGACCTAGCCTTCATATCATATTGTTATGACATATGGAAACTTAAAAGTTCTGCAACTTCTGTCTTTTCCAACTGGACCTATGCAAAAAAAGCTAGACATTGGCTTGTACTTGCATCTTTTTCTGTTAGACATAATTAATACTGTCATCTAATATCAGAAAAGAAAGGAGCCTGGAGATAACAGATGTTCTCCACACTGCTCCATGTAACACTTCATCCTATTATAAATTTGTGTCAACAAAACAGAGAGCCAAGGAAAGTCACTGGAAGCTGATACAATAAAGGGGGAGTAGAGGGGGAACACTACAAGCGTTTGGTATCAGATTTAAACTGAAGTAGCAAAACAATATAGGTCCACAGTGTCGAGTTCATGTAAATCAGAGATGCATCATCTAAAAGATATGTGCAGATAGGCAATAAGTACATATTTTACAAAATACATTTTTCTTATCAAAATGACCTGCCCAGGAACTACTTTCTACTAGCCTAAAGACACTCATAGCAGGGACTATGTCTTGATTTTGCTCACAATTGTAATGCCAATGATCACAGTGCTACACCCAAAAACTTGATTAACTTTTTTTTAATCCTCACCTGAGGATATGTTCCTTCATTGATTCTAGAGAGAGAAAGGGAGAAAGGGAGAGGGAGAGAGAGAAAACATTGATTGGTTGCCTCCCATACACACACCGACCAGGGACCAAACCCACAACCTGGGTATGTGTCCTGACCAGAAATCAAACCCGTGACCCTTCAGTGCAGGGGACATTGTTCAACCAATTGAGCCACACCAGCCAGAGCCCATCTGTTTCTTACCATCTATTCTTTCCTCCTCCCTCTCTGTGTTTGTTTGAATCTTTTCTTTTGGCCTATCTTTGACTTCACCAATTCTACATTCTGCCAAGTTCAGTCTGTTCTTACTCATTCAATGAGCTCGTAAGATGGGATGCAAAATACTAAAGTACTCTCTGAAAATACTCCTTCACATGGCATACACCAAATCTAGTAAGATCTAGAAAATGACAAATTGCTTATGAAAATTTTAATATTAAAAACTATATAAAAGGGCATAATTCCTCAGTATAAATTTTCTTTTAAGTCATATTTTGTAATGATTAGATCTAGTTATTTCAATAACCCATTATTTTGTTTTTTAATACTTTTATTTATTTCAGAGAGGAAGAGAGAGAAAAAGAAACATAATGATGAGGGCGAATCACTGATTAACTGCCTCTTGCACACCCCCCTCTAGCCCACAACCTGGGCATGTACCCTGAATGGGAATTGAACCATGACCTCCTGGTTCATAGGTCGACACTCAACCACTGAACCACACCAGCTTGGCCAAATACATTTTTGACTCAAAAGAGAATCTGCACTTGAAACACATTGTATAACACATTTCAGACGGGTAAAGTCATGAGATAGTGCAGTGTATTTATCCAGATGGTAAACCACCAGTAAGACTGAAAGAACAGGTTCTTGAAATCAGACAAAGCTAGAATGGTAGGCAAGAGTAAGATTGTAAAAGGCCTCAAAGATCAGGCTAAAAGTGTACCTTTCATCTTATGAGCAACAGAAGCCAATAAATGACAAGTCAAAGTGGTTAAATACAGATGATAAAAAAAAGACAACCAGTTTGAATGCAAAATGTTAAACCTGGTTTTGGATTTGCTGAGTTTATGAGACTCAAATAAGAATTGTACAGTATTATAATTTAGTGGTCTTGGGGTTCAGTAGCTGTCATAGCAATAGAAGATAGCTAAAGGGGAAGAAAAATGTTGAGCAAGGGTAGGACAATCAGTTTAACAATCAGTTGCAAAGAATCTCAGGAGCGTTTTACATTCTGCAAAAATCAACACATGTATTAGGCATATTAACCTTGTGGGACAATCCTAATATCAAAAAGCTAGACAGTTCCCAAATTTAGGATAATTTACATAGGTTTGTTTTTAAAACACCAGACTAAAGTTTAGATTCTTCTTCTCACCGTGTTCAAATTTACATGGACTAAATTCCAAAACCATGGTGTGTTGTTCTTCCATGGTTATGAACATTCAATTTCTCTCCAACCCTCAACCCACACACTTTTCCAGAAATAATGAGCCTTCCCCTCAGGACACCCAATTTGTGTCCTCTATTACTTCACTAAACAAATATATTTACTAAGAACTTTCAGGACTTTTTCTGGAGGTTAGGACATCACTTAAGCCTTAATTTGAAGTATGTAAAAATAAATTGTTCTCCTGACACTAATAAAGGTTTGAAGCAGTAGCTCAAAGTGTGGTCCACAGATTTCTGCTGGTTATATTTGTACTAAAGGCCCAGTGCATGAATTCGTGCACAGGTGGGGTCCCTCAGCCTGGCCGACAATCGAAGCCAATCTGGGGGCCGGCCAGCTGGGGGGGAGGGGGAAGGAGGGAGGACCCGGGAGGTTGGCCTGCCGCCCCCTGATCAGGGCCATCGGAGGGGCCAGCAGGCCAACCTCCTGCGGTCCCACCCCCTTGCCAGCCAGACAGCCCAATTGGGACAAATGGGGGGCGGGCGGGTTGGCCGGGGGGAAGAGCCACGGGAGGTTGGCTTGGCTCTGGGAGTGCACTGACGCTCCTGCATTGAGCGGCTGCCCCCTAGTGGTCAGTGCACGTCACAGCGACTGTTCAACCATTCATTCAGTAGTAATGGTCACTTAGGCTTTTATATCTATAGATAGCCAGGTTAAGTATAGAAGTAGGAAGTAAATATCTAGAAAGCTTTCTAGTTGTTTGACAGTACCTTTATGTCTGTAGAAACCAATAATGTCAAATTCAGCCTTATACTATACATGCAGTTTTTCATCTCTATCCTATTTTAGAGAAACATTAGATTGGAAATAGTTTTAAAATAAACTAATTTTCTACTGAAGTATAAGAAACACTGGTTTAGATCACAGACTGTAAGTAGCACTGGATTAGATCACATACTCTTTAGTACCCAGGTTGGAATTCCAGCTCTGCCATTCACAGTTGTATAATTTTGGGCAAGTTCAACATCACAGTACCAAATGATGTATAACAATACTGCTGGTAACCCATGTCCAATATCACTTTCTTATATAACCCTTTCCTTGAATCACTATTTTTTTGGTTGGTTGGTTGGAAAGACCACGGGGGTATTAATAGAAATGTCCATGTTGCAAAAGACAGCTGCAGTTACAAACCCAACATTTCAGTAAACTGAAGGCACTATACATTAAAGATATAAAATAAGGAGCAGATGACGGCATAGGTAAACACTGGAGTTTGCTGCCTCGAACAACCACTTCAAAAGTACAACTAAAAGATGGAACAGACATCATCCAGAACCGCAGGAAGGCTGGCTGAGTGGAAATTCTACAACTAGAAGGAAAGAGAAAAGCATACCGACACTCAGAGGCAGCGCAATGTGGAAGTAAAATACTAAGGTGCAGAGGTGCACGCGGAACGGGCTGGCGACTGAGGGCGCGGTTGTCGTTTTCAATCAGGAGGGAGTCTCAGGCTCTGAACTCCAGTTCCGGGCAAGTCTCTGGGGACCCAGACTCACACGGGAGAAGGGGGACTGTCTGGCATTGGTCGGAACTCGAGGGCAGCTTTCTCTCGG